AGCTCCAGCTGGAGCCTGGCGCTGATCCTGGCGCCTCCACTGAGCCCTGACAGCCCCGAAGAAGCACTGATCAGCTGGAAAGCGGCACTGATCCTGGCGCTTCCGCTGAGCCCTGACAGCCCTGCAGCTCCAGCCGTCTCTCACTCAGGCTTGTGCGGTGCTGCCACCGGTTCAGCTCATTCCCCTCCCCCGCTACCCCTTTTCTAGGATGGTCGCGTCCCACTCCGACAAGTGAGTGTCTAGTCTCTTCTTTAAAATCTCCAGCGATGGAGGGCCCACGATTTCTGGTGGCAGTTTCTGTTCCACTGGTTGATTGTCCTCACTCTCAGGAAGTTTCTCCTTAATTCCAGGTTGCTTCTCTCCTTGATCAGCACACACACACACACACACACACACACAAACACACACCACAATATCACCATTTGTCTTTACATTCTCATTTCCATCTTCCCCTTGCATTTTATGACAGGATGCCAGCAAAGTGTAAAATCTGGAAGTGGCAGATCTGACATCAAGCCAAGTTAGTGTAGATGACCAGGCTGAGACCGAGGGAGGGGTCAAATGCTTCATCAGTCTTGAGTCCTTTCATGCCCACAAGAAATCTAACACCAGGTGTTGAAGCATTCACAGCTTCTGGAGGCAGGTTGTTCAACCGATTAATTGTTCTCACTGTCAGGAAATACGTCCTTGGTTCCAGGTTGCTTCTCTAAGTGGAAAAACCCAATGAAAAAGACGAGAGACAGCAACACAAAACAATGATTCCCACTTTAAGATTCATAGGTTTATTTTGCTAATGATTTGGAACGTGGCGAGCATAATAACACAACATCACTTACATGAATAACCCCTTGCAATGAGGTCCACTGGCATAGCAATTTCCAAAAGGACAGCTATAGGCCAATGGCCCCGAGCTAGACTTAAACTAACATTTTTATACCTTTCTTCTCACGACCACCCACACATAGTCATTGTCCTGCAAAGGCAGTTCCTTGTTCTTTTGTGCTGACCAGCAGTTTCCACATACACTGTGTACATCTGAAACCTCTACTCATCTGTTACTTTCAGTTCCTCTTTTCCCACGGTTACCATACTCATGTTCCAAATATACACAGAGCTACCTACTTTGCCATTTCGTGTTGCACAAAGCTCAGCAGATTACAAATAACATGTCTGTGTTGTGAAACAATGTAAAGTTGAAGTTGAAGCTTTAAATCACTGCTGTGGGGCCTAACTCAGGTTTGTTATATGAGGAGGGGACTATATTTTCTTGTTATATGAGGAGGGGGCTATATTTTCATCCCCCACGCACTTAGCCTTAGTAAAAGAAACCATCACTTCGGCTAAATGGAGTCGAGGGTTTTTCTTTCCTAAGGACCTGAGCTGGGGCAGGCCTGACATTTTGGCTAGATATTTATCTTGTGGGATGGATTTCTTAGAAGGCTTTCAACACCTTCCTCTGTCTGACCCTCTTGTAGGATGAGGTTCTCCTTGAAGCACTCAGATGTTGGGATCTTCTCGGTAAGACTGAGCTGTTGTTGTTCTCTTGCTTGAAATGGTATGACCCCCCTCCTTCCCAATCTTCTTGGGGTCCCGGCCAGAAGTCCATTTCACATTGGGGTCATCCTGTCTTCTTCTCCTGGGTTAGGTCCTTGTCCTCAGGATCTTCCTCAAAGACTTGATGATGGACTGAAATGTTCCCTTAGCCCAGTGTTTCTCAACCTTGACCATTTTAAGGCATGTGGACTTCAACTCCCAGAATTCCACAGCCAGCATTTCTGGCTGTGGAATTCTGGGAGTTGAAGTCCACATGCCTTAAAATTGTCAAGGTTGAGAAACACTGCGCGGTGGGCTTAGCCCTTCTGGTGCGTCCAGGCTATGGGTGGCAAACTGGGTTAGAAGGATGGTGCCTTTTGGTCTACAAGCCAAGGTGGTGTGGCCCTAAGGATCTAGGATCTCCTGTTGAAGGAGGAGAATCAATCAAGTTGATATGGTTTTCTGATTCTGGATTTCTCTCCCAACACGCAGGTACAATTGCTGGAAACCCTCATAAACTTCCTTACGGGGAGCATCCTAATTCCACAAATGAATGGTAAGGACGTTGTAAAGACAAAAGACCTTTCACATCATCTTATTTCAGAGTTCAGAGAAGGGCAAACAAAGACTCTCAGGGATCTGGAGGCCAAACCATACGATGAAATGATTGAGGAACTAGGTATGGCAAGCTATTCTCCAAAGAGCCTGAAGGCAGGAGAAGAAGCAACGGATGGAGTCTAATCAAGGAGAGAAGCAACCTGGAACTAAGGAGAAACTTCCTGACAGTGAGAACAATTAACCAGTGGAACAACCTGCCTCCAGAAGTGGTGAATGTTCCAACACTGGAAGTTTTTAAGAAGAGACTGGACAGCCATTTGTCTGAAATGGTATAGGGTTTCCTGCCTGAGCAGACTAGATGACCTCCAAGGTGCCTTCCAACTCTGCTATTCTATTCTATTCTATTCTATTCTATTCTATTCTATTCTATTCTATTCTATTCTATTCTACAATCTATTTTATTCTACAATCTATTCTATTCTATCTTTTCTATTCTATTCTATTCTATTCTATTCTATTCTATTCTATTCTACTCTATTCTATTCTAGTCTAGTCTAGTCTAGTCTAGTCTAGTCTAGTTTAGTCTAGTCTATTCTATTCTATTCTACAATCTATTCTATTCTATTCTACAATCTATTCTATTCTACAATCTATTCTATTTTATCTTTTCTATTCTACTTTACTCTACTCTACTCTACTCTACTCTACTCTACTCTACTCTACTCTACTCTAATCTAATCTAATCTAATCTAATCTAATCTATTCTAGCCATAGAGAAGAGGGGGTCAACTTATTTTCCAAAGCACCAGAAGGCAGGACGAGAAGCAATGGATGGAAACTCACCAATGAGAGAAGCAACATGGAATTATTAAGGAGAAACTTCTTAACAGTGAGGACAATTAACCAGTGGAACAACTTGCCTCCAGAAGTTGTCAGTGCCCCATCACTGGATATTTTCAAGAACAGACTGAACAGCCATTAGTCTGAAATGGTGTAAGGTCTCTTGGTTGAGCTGGGGGCTACACTAGAAGATCTCCAGGGCCCTTCCAACTCTGTTATTATTCTCTATTCTGGAGAAGACGTAACAGTGGAAGATCAAGGAGAGAACTAAGGAGAAACTTCCTGACAGTGAGAACAATTAACCAGTGGAACAACCTGCCTCCAGAAGCGGTGAACGCGTTTTATCAGGTTCGCCTGATTTACCAGTTGCGCCCTTTTCTGGACCGGGACGCTTTGCGCACAGTCACTCATGCCCTCGTCACCTCCCGCCTGGACTACTGTAATGCTCTATACATGGGGCTCCCCATGAGGAGCATCCGGAGGCTTCAACTGGTCCAGAATGCGGCCGCGCGGGCGGTGTTGGGAGCGACGCGTC